ATTAAGTTTAATTACTAAAATACTCCTTCTTCTTTTTTTATCATTTTACTTAACAAAAAGTAGGCGAATGATGATTTAGATTGAAAATACATTAAAAGATTATGATTTAAATTGACAAAATTAAAAACTCATGATTTATTTTGTTAGAATGCTCAAACCTTGAATTTATTATTATTATTATTATTATTATTATTATTATTATTATTATTATTATTATTTTGTAATTGTCCCAAAAATTAACTAAAAGATATTTAAAATTTTTAAATAAAAGCAACAAAATATAAAAAATAAAAAATTTAAAAACTCAAAACCCTATAGAATATTAATTCAGGAAACAGCCAAAATAAGTGTACTTATTTGCTTATTTACTTATTTGAATTATATCAATTCTCGATTTTTTCATACATTTTTTTTTATAAAAAAATCACTAAATAAGAAATCCCAAACCACCCTCAAATTACATAGGATTAGTTTAATTGGTTCTAAGTGAAAATTCAATTTAAATTTAAAAATCTGAAAATAATTATGAATTATCCAAAGAGGAAACTACTTGCACGCAGAAAAATAAATATAAAAATAAAAATTATCAATAGTGGAGATGCAAGTAATATTTGTATTTCTACAACTTTTTATTTATACTTATGTCACAGACATACTTACACTCTAATGTATTAATAATTTTTTTTTTTGAAAAATTTATCCATAAGTCCTAGTTTTTGAAAAGTTGAACCATTTAGTCCTAAAAATTTTCTTATGCTCCATTTAGTTCCATTTACACATCAATCTAATGTTCGAAACATTAATCTGATGTTTGAAATCTAATGTTCGAAACATTAATTTGATATTTGAAATATTATAATGAGACCTTTTAGTCTATAAAAAAACTTTTAAAACTAAACAATGTATAAGTTATTAATTTGAGATTTATTAGTACATTCCTTTTTTTTTTCGCACCTTGCTCCTTATCCAAATCAAACTAACTCTTGCACGTCTACTAAACGATTAGATTGGACGGTGTGTGACAAATAATCGGTATCATCTCCATGTGTGCCACGTACGAAGCAAAGTTGCAAAATTAATATGCGTTCGTTTGGGATGTGTATTAATTTTTTGATTTTTTAGTTATTTTAGTTTGGGACTAAAAGTCTCATTTGGACTAGATTTTTTTATTTTTTTATTTTTGTGAGAAAAAAATAAAATGATTATGATTTGAATGTATCATTTTATTTTATTGATTTTTTAGTCTATTTCATCTTTTGTGACTAAAATAATAAAAATGTCATACTTTTTGGCATGCCAAATGAGGGCATAATAATAAGAGCACATTTATTTGATAAATCATTTAGGGTAATATATTAAAATTAAAAATAAAAGTATTAAACATACAATTAGACACAAAATAAAGTTTGAAATTTTGAAAAGTAAGCCTTACGCGTAAAGTTTTGGAAATTTTGCCTTCATTTGGTATGTGGGTTGACTTTTTGACTATTTTAACTTGGAGTTAAAAAGTCTTATTTGGAATAGACTTTTTGGCCTTTTTAACTTTTTTGAGAGAAAAAATAAAATGATTATGGTTTAGATGCGACATTTTATCTTATTGGCTTTTTAACTTATTTTATTTTTTGTGGCTAAAATAGCCAAAAAAGTCCATGCCAAACATAGCTCCGTAAGAGCATCAGCAATGGACTAGCTAAATGTTGTGTTAGTGTCAGTTGCTAATTTTTGGCCAGCTCAATACACTGTTTTGTGCTGTAATGGAGCTGCTAACTTGTGTGTTAGTGTTAGTTGTTAGTATTCTGTATTAACTATGGCAACCGTTTTAGTTAGCGAGAGAGAGAGATAGGGAGACATAGGGAAGTGCCATCTAGTCGTCCACCCGGATGTCTGGACCTTTCAAGTTATAAAAAAAAAAATTGCAATTGATCGACCGACTTTTTTTTTGGCGACCAACTTTGTTTTTAGTGTCAAATGCTAAGTGAACAAGCAAAGGAGGGGGAGAGAAAGAGAGAGAGAGAGAGAGAGAGAGAGAGAGAGAGAGACAGTGTAACAGGGTGGGGGCTCACTGCACTTTTCAATTGTTATTTATTTTATTTATTGTTTATATATATATATATATATATTCTTAAACACACACCTTAATACATCCATTGCACAACCATTTAATCTCTAAAATTAACAAATTTTTAACACACCTTAACACACATTTTTGAGTCCCACTTTTATTACTTTTGTCATATAACACACCGTAACATATTTTTTTAGCTATCTCATTGTAGATGCTCTAAGTTAGGATTTTTGAGATATTAAGATAAGACTTATTAGGATGTTAGTTATAAAATGATTATGATTTGATTATACACATTATGGTCTTAGTTATGATTTATTATTAGTATGATATTATTTTGGTTATATTTAAAAAATAATAATTATAACTTATGTGATATACAATCATAACTCATTGTTTTTTTTAATTACACTCTCAGGATTAAACTATGATATTTGTGATGATTAAGAACTTGTTTGGAAAGAAGATTTGGGCTAAAATAACTATATAAGATAAAATATGTTATTTTAATCAAATAAAAAAGATGTCATATTTAACTTATAATCATTTTATTTATTTTTTACAAATACCAAAAAAAACTAAAATAATCTATCTCAAACAAGACAAGCTAAAATATTTTAAAAACTTAAAAATTTAAAAAGTCAACCCATAGTAAATATCATAATTTGCATAGCATTAAAATCTTATGTATTCCTATGTTTATATTATCTGATTCTTTGTATTTCTTTCCTGTATGTATAATATTAGGGTACTGTTATGGTTGCACACCATATGCAACCAACATAAAGGTGTAAATGGAACGTGTAAACATAAAACAGGACAATAAATAAAAAGATGTAAATGTAAAGTGTAAGTTACACACTTAAAAAAAGTCCATAATATTATTATTAATAAGATGAAATAAATAATAAAACCTTATCTATGTGAAAAGCGTGATGGAATTAACTTTTTAACTTTTTGAGTAACTTTTTGACTTTTTGACTTTTTTACTCTCTCTCTCTCTCTCTCTCTCTCTCTCTATATATATATATATATAGATATCATTAAAGTCTGCATGACTTCAATTATTGCAACGGTCCCAAGAGCATGACATTTGTTGCCATGCTTACCGGTTGTGTGCCGGTCACCACCAACATCCCTCCACCCTCCTATCATTAAAAGTCCCCCCACCACCTTTGACTTTTCAATTATTGCAATGACTTTTAAAGCATGACACGTGTTCATATTAGGGATTACAACATTTCTCACTCGGTTGTATTCATTCTAAAAAGATTTGGAAAAGTCTTGGTAAGATAATGTTGAGTAATGTTAGTTTTTATGAAAAAATATTATAAAAAATATTTATTTTTTAAATTATTTTGTATTTTTTTATTATATATATAATTTGAAGGTAAAGAATTTTCAATTTGTTTTTTATAGTATCTTTTTTTATAAAACTCAACATTGATAAATTGGACATACGAATAGATAAATTAAAATTATCAAGATTATGAAAGAATTCATGTGACACAATTTGTTGATATCAACAGTTCAAATCATGCTTTTCCCATATCCATCGTGTACCGTCGGTCACCCCTTCCTCATACTTTTACAAATAATAAGAGTAAGTTATAGGGTTTTCTATTGAAATTTAGGGAAAAAAATATAATAAATCTTACAAATTTAATGTTATTTCATAGACTTTTAAGGTTTTAATATTTAGTTTATTTTTATTAGAAATTTGCTAATCGTATAGATGAAAATAATAATATTATCATCTTTTATATAAATAAATACATATTTCACTTTGTTTATTTTTGTGTAGGTGTTTTCATATCATTTGTATTAATTTCTAACTCTTTAGCTTATGAGAAGGGCGATTAGGACAATAAAATTGTGGAGCTTATTGTATTTGTTTTTCAATTCTTAAAGAGATCAGTGTAATTTACCCATATAATAATAGTAATGATATAATGATGACTTTTCTTTTAGGAAAAATTAAGACAGCAGTCCCTATACTTTAGTCCTTTTATCATTTTAGTCCATATAATTTCAATTGTCATTTTAGTCCCTATACTTTGATTTTGCCTACACAAACAACTACGGCTTTGACCTTAAATTTATAATTTTATGTCAATTTGACCCAATTGATTACAACTCTTAGTATTTTTTTTCTAAAAAAGCTCACCGTTATATATATATATATGTGTGTGTGTGTGTGTGTGTGTGTGTGTGTGCCCGTGTGTGTGTGCGCGCGCGCATGTGTGTAGGTGACTCAAGACCGGATTTAGTGGCGTCGACCTAAGCTTTGTTTTGTCAAGCCAACTCTCGTGCCTCACTGTGAGGTTCTAAACGGTCAAGCTTTTAGAATTCACGGGTGGTTTTAAATACACCTTTTTGAATTTTGATCAAGTGTGTGAATGTTTTTGTTTTAAGACTGGTTTTGTTTTTGGGTAATCTCGTAATTATGTTATGTTTTTGTACTTAAGCATGATGTGGACTCGTGTGTATATGTATACATATAAAGACTTGTTTTTGTTCATGTAAGTTTTCGTAGCTCATTGGACATCATATTTTATTATTTATAGGCTTCCGCTAGCCTTTTTTACTATAATACTGTTAGATGGCCTTTGGTAATCTTGAATTCCAAGCCGATCACTTCTCTAATCCCTTGGGGGCGGGGGTTGAGTTGTGACAAAGTGGTATCAGAACACGAGTTATACAACACACACGCGTCCAAACGAGCTACAAGATGTCCTAAAAAAGAAATTAGGGCATTACATTAACATGTGTGAGTGTGTGTGGAATTGTTACATACACACCTAATGTAAATATGAATGTGAGAACTATATTTCCGATGTTTATTATTATCATGTGTACATATAGACCAATGGAGAATACAAGAAATACAGATGAAACTGAATCATCAAATGCAAGAATTGACTGATTAGAAAGAATGGTTGAGTTATTAACAGAATCTCTTAGACAACAACAACGAAGTCAACAACTCCCACTTCCTCCTCCACTACTAGTGCAAGTTAAGCCAAACAACAATGATGACATGATAGCCCTAACCCAGAAATTCAACATAATGAAGCCACCGACCTTTCAAGGAGGTATTGAGCCTTTGAAAGCCAAGGCGTGGATCTTAGAACTTGAAAAGTTGTTTGAAGTTTTCTCGTGCTCGGAGGCACACAAAGTTTTACTGGCAACCTTCACTTTACAAGAAGAAGCAAGACTGTGGTGGATGCTTATTCGAGACAACAGTGGTTCAATGACATGGGCTCAATTTAAAGAAGCTTTTTATGAGAAATATTTTTCCCAGTATGTCTGTGACCGCAAAGTGTTTGAATTTGAGCAACTGAAGCAGGATATTATGTCTGTGGCTGAATATGAAACTAAGTTCACGAAACTTGCTCAGTACGCTCCACACATGGTAGATTCTGACTATAAGAAAACCAGAAAATTTATGAGTGGACTCAATGTCGAAGTGCTCGATCAGGTCAATGTTCTTAAGTTAACAAAATATGTGAATGTTCTTGATTGAGTTCTTATGTCCGAGGAAAACATTGCAGCTTTAAAAGAAGCCAAGACACCAGTGGCTGATTAGAAGGAAAAAAGACACAATTTCAATTTCAAGAATGGCTGGAACAACTCATAGAATAAGAAATGGAATGCGGGTCATCAAATAGCTCCAATCAAGGGAATAATTCTACACCACCTTGTCCAGAATGTGGTAAAAGACGTAAGGGTGTTTGTTACAAAATCTTCGAGGCATGCTTTAGGTGTGGCAAAACGGGTCACATGGTCAAAGATTGTCCTTCCTTATCCCAAGGCACTAATAGACCCATGGCAAGTGCAGCGACATCAACTTCTACACCAAAATCAAATCCTAAAGCTATTTCAGCGAAAGAGACTTTAAGGCAAGGACGAGTTTTTGCACTAGTCCCAGGAGATATGCAGAATACCAAGGCAGTAGTATCAGGTATACTTCCTAGTTGTGCTCAAAATGTTTATATTTTGATTGACTCGGGGTTTACACACTCATTCGTATTGCATGCTTTTTGGAGAAAATTAACTAGACCACTGGGAACCCATGAACTATTTATTAGTTGTGTCTTCACCAACTGGGGGATCCATGTCTTGTGCATATATATATATCCTGCATGTGAGATTATAGTTAGAGATGTGATTTTATATGTTGATTTGTTGCCTCTGAATAATGATCATTTTGATGTAATTTTAGGAATGGATTGGTTAACGAAAATCATGCCTATAAATTGTGTAACCAAACAAGTTGTGTTTTAGCCACCTGGATTACCTGAATTTATATTTAATGGAATTGGTGTTGTACCTCCCCTATACTTGATTTCATCCATGAAAGCATACAATTTGATTAGAAAAGGCTGTAGGGGATATTTGTGTTGTGTATTGACTGTGTCAGTTGTTGATAAAGCTAATGTGGACAATATTCCTATAGTCAATGAGTTCCTAGATGTTTTTCCAGATGATTTGTCAAAGAATTTGATTGACAGAGAGATTAAGTTCACTATTAAGGTAATACCAGGTGCACAGCCGATTTTCAAAACCCCATACAGAATGTCAACTTCCGAATTGAAATAATTGAAAATTCAATTGCAAGATTTGTTGGAAAAGAAGTTTATCAGGCCTAGTACTTCACTGTGGGGCGCTCCAGTCTTATTTATGAAAAAAAAAGAAGATGGTTCATTGAGGCTCTATATTGATTACCATAAATTGAACAAGGTGACTGTGAAGAACAAGTGTTCGTTACCTCATATCGACGATTTATTTGATCAGTTCCAAGGGGCTCAAGTCTTTCCCAAAATTGAGAATAATCCGTCGTAGCTTGAAAAAAATTGGCTTGAAATGGCTCGAATACCCAAAATGATGTCGTTTTCGGTATTTTTTTTTCTTTTTCTTTCCATTCCCTCCTTGAAACAGACATAGAGAAAGAGAGAAGAGGCGAGAGAGAGAAGAAGGGGAAAAGATGGAGAGGAGAAGGAAGAACACAAATCTGTATACACATAGAGAAGGTGATGATGGCGGCGCCGATGAGTGGCTCTCTCTCTCTCTCTCTCTGCTAGTGGATGGCTCTCTCCCTCTCTTATATATATATATATATATGTGTGTGTGTGTGTGTGTGTGTATAGAACTGTGTATACACATAGATCTAGTGTTGATGATAATGATGTATTGTTGTTGTTGATAATGATGATGATGATGATGGTGTGTTATAGATTAGAAAATATGCATCATCAGGTGTTGATGATGATGATGATTTGGTATTGTTGATGATGAATCATCTAGTGTTTGATGATGATGATCTTAGGTTGCTTTTGTTGATGATGAATGATCTGGTGTTTGCTCTCTCTCTCCTCTCTTCTTTTTCTTTTTCTTCTTCTTCTTCTCCACCTCTGCTTTAGAGAGAAAAGAGGGGGGGAAAATTCCAAAACGATGTCGTTTTGGAACTCGAGCCTCAATATTTTCGAGCTACAAATCGAAACTACAAAATTGATCTTAGATCCGGATACCGCTAACTGAAAGTTAAAGTTAATGACATAGAAAAAACTATTTTCCGAACAAGGTACGAACATTACAAATTTGTTGTTATGCCTTTCAGAGTAACTAGCTAGCTGCTTTTATAGATCTTATGAATAGAATTTTCAAGCCGTTCCTTGATGAGTTTGTTGTTGTTTTTATAGATGAAATCTTGATTTACTTCAAAAGTAAAGAAGAACATGAACATCACTTGAGAATTGTTTTGCAAACCTTAAAAGGGAAGAAGTTATATGCTAAACTAACAAAGTGTGAGTTTTGGCTTGTTAGTGTTATGTTCTTGGGGTATCTGATAAATAAAGATGACATTTCAATTGACCTGCAAAAGATAAAGGAAGTTGTAAATTGGCCTAGATCGATCAATGTTACTAAAGTTTGAAGTTTCTTGGGTTTGGCCGGTTACTACTGCAGATTTGTGAAAGACTTCTCTAAGATTGCCTTGCTACTTACCCAGTTGACACAAAAAGGGGTACCATTCGAGTGGACTGGTTAGAGAGAGCCATCCTTTCAGGAATTGAAGACTCGGCTTGTAACTGCACTGATCCTGACCTTACCCTCAAGTATGGATGGTTTTATTATTTTTAGTGACGCATCTTATGAAGGTTTGGGATGTGTATTGATGCAGAATAGCAAAGTGATAGCTTATGCTTCCCGACAACTGAGACCGCACGAAAAGAACTATCCGACCCACGATTTGGAGCTTGCGGCAGTGGTATTGTACAAAGAGCATTGCTACATGATCTAGAAAGATTTGAAGTTGATGTTGTTTTGCGAGAATAAAGCGGGACTTTGGCTACTATTTTTGGTCAACCAGCAATAGTTGAAGAAATCAAAGAAAAACAACAATAATAAGATGAATTTTTAAAAAAAGTTATTCAATAAAGAGAATCCAAACCGAGGCCGGACTTTGCTTTTGAAAATGGTGTGTTAAAGTTTCAAAGAAGATTATGTGTACCGAATAATTCTAAATTAAAGAAGTGAGTTATGCAAGAAACTCATAGTTCAAAATTTGCCATCCATCTGGGGAACACAAAAATGTATCAAGACTTGAAGCAAAATTTTTGGTGGCCGGGAATGAAGAAAGAAATTGCTGAATTTGTGTCTAAGTGTCTACAATGCCAACAAGTAAAGGTCGAGCATCAATGACCCACGAGATTGCTTCATCCACTACCAGTACTGGAATGGAAATGAGAGCATATCGCTCCATTAGAGATATGGACTCGATTTGGGTAATTATTGATCATTTGATTGAATCTACTCATTTCTTACCTGTCAAAACATTTTATAATGCGGATAAGTTGGCTACAATTTATATTAATAAGATTGTGAGTTTGTATGGAGTGCCTGTGTCCATTATTTATGATAGGGATTCAAAATTCAGATTGAGGTTTTGGCAAAGTTTACAAAAGGCATTGGGGACTGAATTGAAATTAAGCAGTGCATATCATCCACAAACCGATGGACAGTCAGAAAGGACCATACAAACTTTTGAGGATATGTTGTGTATGTGTATGTTAGACTTTCAAGGGAATTGGAAAACCCATTTGCCTTTAGCCGAATTTGTATACAACAATAGTTTTCATTCAAGCATTGGCATGGCATCTTACGAGGTGTTATATGCCAGAAAATGTCGGTCATCGATTTGTTGGGCTAAAGTTGGAGATAGACCTTTACTAAGACCCAAAATTGTACAAGAAACGACTGATAAGGTGAAATTGATCCAGCAACGATTAAAAATAACACAAAACTGACAGAAAAGTTATGCAGATGTTCGAAGGCGAAATAGGGAATATGAAATGGGCGACCATGTTTTTATCAAAATGACACCAATGAAAGGACAAACACATTTTGGAATAAAGGACAAGTTAGCACCTCAGTACATTGGATCGTATGAGATCATTGAGAAAATTAATCCAGTGGGATATCAGGTAGCTCTCCCTCCCGATATGGAGCATATGCATAATGTATTTCATATTTCAATGTTGCGAGATTATCTCCGGAATCCTTTTTATGTCATTGAGCCTACTCATGTACTTTTGAGTGATGATTATACTTATGAGGAGCGACCAATTCAGATTGTCAACCGTTAATCAAAAGGTTAAGGAACAAAGACATTCCATTAGTGAAAGTGGATTGGCAAAACCATGGTGGGATTTATGCGACTTGGGAAAAAGAAGATGATATGAAGAAAAGATATCCGGATCTCTTTCCATTAGATCCCGTGTTCTTCTCGGAGAAAGGTAATTAAGTTTAGAGAACCAAACGTTCTAAGGGGGGGGGGAGAATGTGACGACCATCTTGATTAATTAAGCTAATCATATAATTTGCATTGATTATGTGTTTATGTGCTATTATGTGCTATGTGTGAAATGAATTGTTATGTTGTGAACAGATATGGTTAGGATATGAATTGAACCTGTCTAAATTAGTAATTTATATGGATTCAAATTAAATATTTGGAATAGGCTCTTTTAAGGTTTTAATATTTAGTTTATTTTTATTAGAAATTTGCTAATCGTATAGATGAAAATAATAATATTATCATCTTTTATATAAATAAATACATATTTCACTTTGTTTATTTTTATGTAAATGTCTTCATATCATTTGTATTAATTTCTAACTCTTTAGCTTATGAGAAGGGCGATTAGGACAATAAAATTGTGGAGCTTATTGTATTTGTTTTTCAATTCTGAAAGAGGTCAGTGTAATTTACCCATATAATAATAATAATGATATAATGATGATTTTTAAAAAAAAAAATTAAGACAGTGGTCCCTATACTTTAGTCCTTTTGTCATTTTAGTCCATATAATTTCAATTATCATTTTAGTCCCTATACTTGGATTCTTCCTACACAAACAACTACGGTGTTAACCTTAAATTTATAATTTTATGTCAATTTGATCCAATTGATTACAACTCTTAGTATTTTTTTTCTGAAAAAGCTCACCGTTTTATATGCTTGTG